CTGTTAAATCAGGTTGATTTTTTTATCCCATCGGGACTGGAACTCTTAAAGAAAGCATGCTGGAAAAACTTTAGGTGCAAATATGTAGCTTAACTCAACTGAATAACTTCATGTTACAATTTTGATGACAAATTTCCCTTAATGATGGCATTTCTCCAGGTTTTCCACCTTGTTTTCCCATTGTGTTGTGGATTTCTCTACGATCTCACCATTATGTGATATCTTTTTATGAGACACCTTTCTTACTCTCAATTAAATGTAAGAGTATGGGGGTTTCTTTTATGCTTTCTGATAGACTCAGAGAATGAAAACTTGGCAGTTTCAGTGTAAAATAAGTAACCTCCACAATTTATCTCAAATTAATTTTGGTTTTTTGGGGTACTTTGAGAAACTGGTTTGGGCATTACTCTTCCATGGGCAACGGTAATGATCAGTTTCTTTCACACTCAGTCCCAGATATTTTGAAATCTTTTCCATGTATATATTTCCCATTGAAAAAAAATAAAAATCCCTAGCTAGGAATTTTGTATGTTTCTATTCCAGTAGCATGAGGACACACACCTGCAGCAGCCTTCCTCTTGAGAAGCACATTCCAGAGAGATGGGTTTTCATCTTATGCTCAAATGATTGCTCCAAGAGGGAGGGAATTTGTCCCCCTCCCTCCCCCCACAAGCCATGGCTGTGTTCAGTCAGCTATGTGTTCAGGGTCATCTCTGATGGTTGTCCCCTTGCCTACCATCAGGCCTGAAAAATAGCAAGCACAACTTCAGCAGGTGCCTGTGAAGGGGAAAGTCATTCACCTCAGAGAACAAAGGCACTTAAAATAGAACCGGGAGGAAGTTGCTGCAGGGTGGGCAGCCAGGGTGCTGAACGCTGAAGGCCTGCTGGGAAGTTTACAGGGTCCTTGTCAACCCTGAAAGTAGTTACAGATCCTTTTTCTGTCAATTCTAGCACTTTCCTGCCCTGAAATTCTGAAACAAAGGAGCATAACATTCATTGTGAAGAAAGAAGGAATAGTACAGATAGTAAAAGAATACCCAGGGAAGCACACTGTATGACCCTCGAACAGCGTTAGCAGTGTCTGCTGGGCTGGTGCACTTCCTACAGAAGCATTTTGCTTCTGGGAAGGTGGTCAGGTTCCCCTTGGGAGGTGCAGGCAAGCCCAGAGAAAATTAATGGCGAAAAGTACTCTTTTTCCTGATGGAATGTCTCATAGTCTACCACGAGAGCCCATTAAGTAAGTGATGTGACCTAAAATAACCTGACTAACACTAAAACTATGAACAGACCATCCAAACTGTATGCTGTTTTTTCTTTTACCTTTCTTTTCTTTTAAAAGAGATCTCTTCTCTGGGAGAGCTTTTCAGCCTACTCAGGAAAATGGTGTACTGGCAGAGTTTGCCTTTCCAGCTGCCCCCTTTATCCCACCTCTTTGATGTTCATGTCTTCAGAAAAAAACAGAACACCTCAAAAATCCCAAGCCCAGCCAATCAAAAGAACCCCTCTTCACATCCTGGCTGTGCAGGCAAATGATGTTGGGTATCAAAATCTGAAGATATTTACCCCGAATTATTTAATGCAAGGAACCAGACGGAGACCTATTGCCATTCACCCACCTGCAAGCCAGGGATGGATATCACCCTCCAGCTGCTAGGGAAAGTGGGAAACCTGGTTGCACAAAGCTCCTCTGGACTTCCGTTTGTCCCAGATTGTAGCCCAGGGTTGCTTTTGTTTGATTTTCAACTATGTTATTTGGTGCAGTAATATCTCACCTTGCTTTTAACTCCTAACTCTACTCAGCTACAGTAATGCTGCTATGGAGCTCACCTGGTAAAAAAAAAATATTGACCAAAGGACAAACTTTAACCTTTAAACCATCAAAATTTCTTTGGTTCTGAATAGGAAAAACAAGCTCCAACCTAAAACAAAGGAGAGAGAAAAACTGAACCAAGTTTAACATAATTGTGTTAAACAGACAATTTAAGTGAAACAGTAATGGAATAATGAAGGCTAAAAGGGTTCTTAGAAAAGTGAGGGAGTTGCTAACTCATTTGAGACTGAAAGGGAGAGTTAATTACTATCTGTGAATCATTAAAGGGTTAGTGGAGTTTGGGGCATAAGGAAAAGTATGAGTGACAGTTTTGTGCAAGATGTACTTGCATCGATACTTTGACGTTCTGGAACTTTAGGGCTTGTCTTTTGAGATCTCATGCTGATGCCAAGTGTTGTTTTCACTTAAATGAGCATTTTCCAAGAAGTGTGTAACATACCAGGATACAGACATACAGGATCCATGAGTGTGGACAGTTCTCTTACAAGGAAGTGTTTGAAATGGTGCTGGTAGAGACACATCAGCAAGTTTTCTTTCATCTTGGTCCTGTGAACTAATGCATCATGCAGGAACTTGACTGCTCCCAGCTGTATTTGTGTGAGAAAAGACATTACTTCTCCCTCCAAAGCTTGGCTAGATGAGAGTAGGACAGACACTTCCTTTAAGCTTCTGTCACATGTTTAACTAGCTCTACCACTCCAGTGCTGCTTGTAAAAATTAAAAGCCAATGAAACCCCAAGCCAAGGGACTGTACCCATGTTTACAGTTATGCATACTAAAGATCTGTCTAGATCCAGGGTATGGAGCCAGGCACCCTGCAGGTCTGAGCCTCCATGTGTTAAGCAACAGCCCACTTCCACTCTGATTTAAGCAGCAGGAGACTTGCCATGAATTTCTTTGAATATGGGGCCTCCAACAGCATCTTCACTTCATAAGGAGGATAAATGTTAGCAGGCATATTGAATACAGATAAGGAGGAAGTTGGCACTTTCCAGACTGTCAGCCAAATGTAGATTCAGGGAGATACTGGAATATTTCCACTATCAGGAGTAATCAGGAGTTTAAAATGTGAATATTTCCTTCCTCCATCATATGCTTATTCTTGTCTGTCACTGAAGGCAAGTTTTGGTGGGTAATGCTGCCACAGAACCTTTGCTTGAGGGCAGCCAAGAGCCAGGGGAACAAATGGATCAAGCCTCAAATTTGCCCCAAAATCTTTCACCTCTTTTCAGAGGACAAGGAGGAAGCTTGAATAGAATATGAAAGTGGCCTGAGACTCAGAGGTCCTAAATGCTACTAGAAAATAAATTTCTATTTGTAAATGCAGTACTAATGCCCCATTCAGCTCAAGCTGAGTGCACCAGAAAGGCTCTTGTGGGAATCAAAAACAACTGAATTGCCCCCAAAATTGCCATGTCAATAAAATTATAGTTTTCTGTGGAGGTTTTTTTGCATGTTTAAATTAGATTCTTATCAATAAAATGTTTCTCTATGAAAAAAAAAAGCCTCAACAAACCAGAACAAATGAATAAATCTTTTTTTCAAGACAGTGTTTTTCATCCTGTTTGAAAATACTTCATGGGTAATTCCTAATTTAATTTTTTGTTTTTTTTTTTTTTTTTTTTTTTTTTTTAGTGTGACAGTATTTGGTTTGGTTGATTTTGTTTGTTGTTGTTGGTGTTTGGTTTTTTTATGGTGGTTTTTGTTTGGATTTTTTTGTTAGTTTATTTGTTTTATCATGGGCAGACTAGATGGGAAATGGTTCCTTATCTGAGTGACACCTCAGCATTTCTCTGTAGGTCTGTGAGAAGTACATACCTCGAGGATGTCTTCATTTGGCTTCTTCTGTAGGACTTTCCAGAACTTTATCACTTGGGTTTGACAGAGCTAAGGATGCAAGTGCAACTTGATTCAAGACACTTAAGTACTTTGCTAACTTACTGCCCTTATAACAGCATAATTGCATTATTAATAGTAATGAAACGGTTATACATAACTGCATTTTTCTATTTAAAAATAACTTGAATTGAGCATGGCGCATAAATGTTTGAATTAGCAGTGCCCACACTGCCACCAGCCAGGGAAATTGCAGGAGGTTCTCAGCCTCCTCAAGCATACTGAATTTTATTGCTTTCAGATCCCAGTTAATACTTCCAGTCAGTGTCGAACAGCTTGTTCATGTTAGCACTAATCTGGGGTGCTCTGTACCATGTTCCCTTGCTCAGGGCTCACAGAGATAGCCAGAACACACACATGGAGGCACTTAGCAAGGCGGCTCATATGTTGTTGTGTTAAACCCATCAACTGTGGTATTAAGCCATTTATGCCTTGTATAAAACAAGCAATATTACTTCTCACGTAGTGAAAAGATGCAACAAACTAATATGAACTGACAGCTCCCCAGTAAAAAGATTTTTTCCTCTAAAGAAAGCCATGTTGATCTTAGACCTGGAATAACTTTTTCCTTCCCTTTCTCCTATTACAGTAAAAGCTGGGTTTTTCCTCCAGTCCTTATACAAGCGACTAGTTTCTGTGAGCACTCTTCCAAAACGGTCTAAAGATGCATTCCTATGGAGTAAGTAAAGTAACATCGACGCATTTCTTCTGATCCAAAAAATACTGAAGCTGAACAAAAGCCTCCTGGTGGCAGATGGAGCAGGTGCAGGGAGTCCTGGGTGACTGATTCAGAGCACTCAGGACTTGCGCCGTTCTGCCGATGACAGCAAAAAAGCTGTGGGTAAGAGGACCTCAATTTTTATCCAAAGGTATGACCCTATGATCCTTCATTTTTCCTTTCTGCCCAAGGTACAGGAAGACATTGTTCAGAGTACAGTAATAACATGGCTATTACACTTAGAGAAAACCAAGTAAAGCAGAAGGCAACGGAAGCAGACATCACAAATAAAGGCAGAAGACCCTTTTATTTCGCATAGACAAAATGCAAAGAGTGTCTCATTAAATTAATATTAAAAAAACCCAAAATCAATGCCCTCACTCCACTGACATCACTCATCCTAATTAACAGCAAAAAAAAAAAAAAACAACAAAAAAAAAAATCAAGGACCCATTTTCTAATAATAATTAAAAAAAAAGTGCAAACATGACAAAAGACTTCTTGTTTTTCCAAATCAATGATCCTGTTGAATTCACAAATAGGGTGGGGTTTTTTTTTGTGTGATTTTTTTTTCCCTTTTAAATCTTGTCTGATGGAATTTCCAGTTAAAATGTTTTAGTTAAGTCTCCATGCACTTCGTAGAAAATCAGTAAAAACACAAACGCTTGTGAAGATCAGAAAACTGGACTCTTTTACCCAAAAATTCAGATGTCCAGTCAGATGAAGCTCACACTCAGACAGAAAAAAAGCAAGAGAGTCTTTGCACTGTCTGTCGTTCATATTATTATTATTTTTTTTGTCAAATATTTTGGCAATCTTCTTTAATTATAAATATTGGAATTCAATAAAAAAAAGGTAGCTTTCATTGGATTATTTTTCAGTGTAAATATTTACAGCCACTGTCCAGCCATGCTCTTTTTGTTATACCAGGGTGTAAGATTTTGCGTAGGGATTGTTTCCTTTCAAGTGGCCCCGGGAGTCCAGCAGGGATTCTTGGGAGCTGCTGATTTTTGCTGCCTGTCCTAGCTCAGCTCCTTCTCGCTGAGGTAATGTTGCCACAGCACCAGGTTGCCATGACTGTACTTCTCTTGTGGAGGATGTCTCCATGGGTATTGGCTCCAGGACGGTGGGGCGCTTCAAGGTTCGGCTTTTTTGCGGCTCCAAGCAGGCTTGCCCCAACCCCAGGTCTCTGCTCGTGCCCTGCACGCCACGGTTCAATAAGAAGTCCATCCTAAGGTAGGGTGGCAAATGCATGAGATCACCTAGGGAGGCAAAAGGAAAAACAAGTCCTTACTTATGGTTATGCGTGTGCCACATTCACCTGTTGGCTGTGGGAGTCAAGCTGATGGATTTGGCCGCCAAAGCAGGGTATCCATAGTCAATCCAGCTGCAGTATTTATAACTGATGTATTGTTTGTCAGCCATTTACTACGCTATGATCATACAGAATCAAAAGTCAACAAACTCCTTTTGGGCAGATCCTTACCAATTCGCTATTAATATTTGTTTTCATAATAGAATGACTATAATGAGAAATGTGACGTGTTTCACGTGCACTCACAGCATGGAGAAGATAAAACTGAAAAGATCAGGAAGTTTTTCTTAAAATCCTTAAAGAAAAAGTCTTTGCTTTCATTCATCGAAACTTGGAAAATGCGGAGGTTCTGTATATTTCCATTTCAAATTAAAACCTTTTAATTACAAGTAATGACCCCCAATCTAGAGTAGAATGACTAAATTATCTAAAATGGATACATAAGTGTCAAGACTATAGTTTTAAAGAGATTTCTGAATAAGCAGAAAAACATTCTTGTCCTAATATAACAACATTTACCTTCCATAAGTCATCACTGTGTTTAAATCACTAATGATTTTTTACTTCTGTGGCCATGAGTGAGCTGCTGTTTGTGGCAATAAAATGCATTGGGGCTCGCACCTCAGCTCCTGCATCATCTTTCCCTTCTGTTCTGTATTGTCAGGGAAACCTCTTACTTGTTATTTCACCTGATTTCTGGGCATTTCTATGTGAGCCTAGTGTTGGTAGCCTGCTCGGTCCAGAGTCTTTGCCATTGCAAAAGTATTGAGTTCAATCAGGTGCCTGGGACCTGCTGTCTGGAATTAAGCAGGGGCGAGTGTTACCTTCCACACATTTGTATATGTATTAGACCTGCTACAGAAATCAGACTGGCTTGTTTATTCTAGCTTTGCCTGTTAGGTATTGATGCTTCAAGGAAAAGAGAAGCAATAAGGCACATGATAACATTCCCTTCTGAAAATATTTGATGGCGTAACCTTATGTATATATGAAAAAAAGTACTGTTACAGGTGCGTTCAAGAACAGTATTTCTCTTTCTTTACAGACCTCTGCAGGTATATAGCTTTCTTTTTATATCAAAACTCTAGTCTCATCTACAGATGGGATGCATCCTGAATGTTTAAAGTGAAGACTTTTGGCAATACTACACCTGTGTCTACATGAGCTATTTACAGCAATAGAAAATAAGGCTGCCCTGTGCCAATGGCATAAACAATAGACCAGGAAAGTACTTCTTTGTAATAAAACAATGTATAATAACTTCATATTTCCTAACCAAGCTAAAAGCTGTCCAATGATCTAAAATAAAACAGGTCTTTTCCTTTCTGGTATAATTCAAGGCACTGCAAATCTTACCTAAAAGACTAACAGCATCTGCTTTATCCATAATTTCAGTTCGCAGGCAGAGAACTGCTGAGAAGCTACATTTGGACAGAATCACTGTTTGCTCCTATAGGAATCCCCCCAGCACTGTCTGACACCATATGTTTTAGTCTAGCTATATCTCCAACAGAGACACATGGTACACAGTATTTAACCCTTGTAGAGTAAGATGCACGTATCTCAAGATTAAGCTGACGTACCACAGCAACATTTATGTAAGGCTGGAGGGGGAGGTTTGTGCTTATAATCATACTGATTGCCACTTCAAGACTGGGTTGTGGTAACATTAGCTGGTTTTACACACCTTATTTTCCTACAGTACCTTCAATGCCAAACATGTTCTGCATATGAGACCTATTTCTTCTGAGACAGCAATGAATCTGCCACTGGGGTAAAGTAAATCAGGATATGGACACATGAACTGGCAGGTGCCAACTCACTCAACTACCAGCATCGAACTGAACTGCCTGTGTGTAAGTCCATGCTGCCCCATTGACACCCAGACCCTGATCCCCTGGCCACCCACACTGCACCCCATTGCTTCTGGGTTCCTTTTTGGACTGAAACACAGCCCAAAACACAGCTGTGGGGGCAGTTTGCTCCAAAGAGCATTCCCTGGGGGTTCACAGAGGAGAGAGCCTGGGTAAGAAACACTTGTATCACTTGCTCCCTCTGGCTATACCATTTACAGCATCGGGGTATCCTAAATAAGGAATCTTATGACTACCCACTCCTCCCCAGTGGGGGAGACAAGTGTAGGCATGAGTGATGCTGCCCCCCCGTACCTGTCTCTGCCTGCTAATGAAGGTGGTGAGGGCCTTCATGTGGCTGCCTCAGGCGTGGGTTATGGCTGTCAGGGCCCCAGTGAAGGCGAGCAGCAAAGCACACCTTTGTGATGGCAATAGTAGGCGTGAAAACTTTGTGACTAACTATAATACCAAGGTAATGCCTTCCCTCTTGTCAGGGATGTTTAAAGACTGCTGGGGTCAGAGAACGGGGTTTCTTTTGCACTGCTGTTGTTGCACCCCATGCAAATTAGAGGCCCCTCAGCCCCAACAGAAGAGGACCAATTTTCTGTGCTGAACCTTGCATCCCTATTTCCCACAACAGGAGGCCTTTTCCCGAAGATGTCTGTCACCCTAACCTGCTGCTAGGCAGCACAATGCCTGCTGCTTTATTAAGACCAGCCAGGTCATTTCACATACATTCCCTCTTACTACTGCTTTTTCTGTTTTGTGGTTGACTTCTATAGGAAGAAGGCAGTGTAGAGCAGAAGTTGGAGCATGGATCACTGACAGACCCCCGTGGTTGCCTCAGAGTGCTGCTTCTGTATCGCTGCTTCTTGAGAGCAGTGAGTACCCATGGACTGTAAAAAAGTTGAGCATTGAACTTTATAGAGATGAAGGTTGTTTTTCAAGCTGCTGTCTAGACATTTCTCATATGTATTTAAGAGCTTCAGGCTATGTAAAAAAGACCTTTTTTCCCTCCCTAAATCTACATAAGAAAGCATAGTCAATAATCTGTGTAAACAATATGCAGTCATTTTATTATAATTTTCTAAATGTCTGGAGGCAAAGTTCCAACAGGATTGCAGTAATGAGAAACCAGAGAGTGTAACTTGTTCTCCAAAGCTGGATACACAATGCACAATCTCTGACACAGCTCACACAGAGCACTCGTTATTTGAGGTGATGTACACGTTTTCCTATCATAAAGAGTTCCAGTGCTGCTTCTTATCTACAAGGAGCATCTTTCCTTGCAACTGCTTACAAAACAAAGCAGATTATTAAAATCACTAGAAAAGAAAAATTTTGAGAATGGAATGTTTTCTTCTTTGCTAAAATTGTCTTACAGGACAATCTTAGAAACAGTCTTACAGGATGAAGAAAGTCTTTGATTTATAACAGCTAATGTGTTTCTGACTTAACAACGCAGTCTTTGAAATCTAATCACAGGGGCTCACTTTTGTCATTCCTACATCAATTCTGAAGGTAATTTTGAGAAGATGAAAAGCCTTTTGCCATATCTATGGAGTTACTTTGAAAGACTTTGGTTCTCATCTTTCTGGCCACAACAGCGTAGACAGTTTTTTTGTTTCTTGCTATTCAGCTGAACGACGATTTTTTTCAGGCAAAGCATTACAAAGTTTCAGGATGGTTCATTGCCTTTGATGCTCTAATTACCTCTTTTAAGCCGTGTATGTGCCTTATTAGTAATGAAAGCAAACCTTTCAAGTGCATGAGCACTGCAAATGAGCACGTTTAATAATTCATGTATTTTGGCTTAATTAGTACAAAAGACATTCCAAAACTATAGTTTTCTGATGCATTTTTAAAAAAGGGAAATTTGTTGTGTTTAGAAACACTGAGTTTGTACACAAATAATAAACATCCAGTCTAATCTGAATGTAGTAATTTAAGCCAGAATTATCTCTGTCTTTCTTTCTGAGTGGCCAACCCTCTAATGAATTATTTAGTATAGTACATTTAAGAAAATGTCAGCTTCAACAAATATTTGCAAACAAATGCTACAAGTCACTTACTATCAAATTTACCATAAGCAACATGGTCTACCAAAAAGGGAGTATTTTCGGAGTTAATGCATCACTAGGCAAAAAGTATTTGCCCTTATTTCAGTACAATTAAGCTGATATAAAAGATTTTGCAAAAATAATAGAAATTTTTATCCTTCTTCTGGAGTCTGCTTCAGGTAGGGGAAGGGTTGGGATGAATTTGACAGGCTACATGGAAGGGAAAATATCACAGCTCAACTTTTCTGGGATTTTATTCAACATAGCTATCTTGTTTGCAGAAGTAAACCAAGCTGAGATGCACTCCTTTCTCTCAAAAGACTTACCCCATACCTTTCTCAAATGCCAAAGAGCTTGCATGTATTTTTGCTTCCCTCTTCTCTAGAAAAATCTAAGGATTTGTGCTGTATTCAATACAAGGTAATCACAGACTGCAAAAAAGATACTCTTATCAAGTTGTCACATGACAGCTATATGCATTTTCTCATGAATCATACCTTCCACTAAAGCAAAAGCAATTTGTCTTCACAATGCTCCAACACAGATAACTTCAGTGATGATGACTGCCTGATGATTTTCAAGTTTTGGTTGCCATGTGAAGGAAATTCCATGCTATTTGAAAGATTACTTTAGAAAAGCTTATGAAGTAGGACAGGGGATTATGACAGGATATTTTATTTTAACAAAGGTAAGAATAAGACTGGGTGAACAGGACGTTCATGCAGCTTACTTCAAAAGGAGAATGAGTAGAAAAGACTCTTGAAGTTCTCTTTGGCACGATCTCATGGGATCAGAGATCATGCCAGAGTTGCATCCATACAGCTCTATTAGCACTGGTAAGGTGCCTTGCTGACGTATTTATGTTGATTTGGGACCCAAGTATACAACTCTTCCTGACATTGTGCAGTGCTGGGGAGTGTACAAACCCTGCCACTACATTGGGCATCTCTTAGCTTGTCCTGAGTTTGGAAGGGGAAGCACTGGTGAGATACTGTGTTTTCCTTTGAAAGGAAGCAAGGGAGAGAGAGCCTCTG